TTTTTTTTGAGAAAGCTAAAGATTTAAAGTTTAGTTTTAGCATTGTGGTATTTTTGGAAAATACAAAATTTTAGTGGTATTTTTAAAAATAAAAATTTAATTGTACTATTTTTGAAAACAAAACTTCATAGTGTGAAATGGCCGCCAATAAATGATTATAACCATGCAAATACACGTGTCAGGGACGGAGAAGGATCCGGTAACGGACTACGCACAACGTTTATGGTTCAACGCCCGTGATGTGAAGTACGAGTGTGTGTTTGACATGCCCGAAGACTTTGGAACCGTGGAAGCCATCAAGATTCAAAACCAGCACCATAGAGAGATGTTCATCAAGGAAGTAGAGCTTGAGTTACCAAGCGGCTACGTTAAGTTTACATGTGAGTCATGGATAGCTCCCAAGTCCATTGACCCAACCAATCGGATATTCTTCTCCAACAAGTCATACTTACCTTCCCAAACCCCGGAGCCACTTAAACAACTCCGAAAAGAGGAGCTAGAGACCTTACAAGGCAAGAACCGCGACCGAGTTGGTGAATTCGCCACGTTCGAACGTATTTTCGACTACGACGTATACAACGACATAGGTGACCCTGACAACGACCCTAAACTTGCCCGTCCCGTGATTGGAGGCCTCTCTCATCCGTACCCTAGGCGTTGCAAGACCGGTCGCAAACCTTGTGATACTGACCCTTCCTCAGAGAAACGTTATGGGGACTTCTATGTCCCTAGAGACGCGAAGTTCTCTACAGCCAAGTGCAATGCATTCAAGGGCAAGGCCTTCATGGCATCTCTCCCTTCCGTGTTACCACAAATGGAGTGTTTTTTACTCGATCCCAGCTTGCCTTTCCCACACTTCAAGTCCATAGAAGATCTCTATGAAGTAGGCATTCCCGATTGCAAGAAAGATTGTCATTTACCTATGATCCCTAGACTTATCAAAGCTGTTACTGAAGTTCAAGATAATATTCTCCAGTTTCATCCTCCTATTCTCCTTAACAGTATGTACCTTCCTCTCTCTTCTTTAATCCTACATTATACAATATTAATTATTCCGATTCTCCTTATCATTAATAAAACATTTACATTGATTCAGAGGATAGATTTTCATGGATCCGAGACGACGAGTTCGCTCGCCAGACTCTTGCAGGCATTAATCCTTATAGCATTCAGCTAGTTACGGTAAGCTATATTATATAGTTTTTGTTCTGCTTGTTCCAAATTAGCAATAAAGATCCATGTTTCATTATGGTGATTGGAATTTTAAAAAATCATTTGAAAATGATATTTTTTGGTTTTTAATTAAAGCTAAAAACTTAGGATGTTAATATAAGAACATGGCATTGTTATTCCAGGAGTGGCCATTAAAAAGCAAACTAGACCCTGCCGTTTATGGTGATCCCAACTCACTCATTACTTGGGAAGTTGTGGAAAAAGAAATCAGAGGAAACATGTCTGTTTATGAGGTACGATTATCGACGGGTTTTATTTATAAAGACGCATACATATATGCATATAGACCAAATATTTCCTTAATGAATGATCAATGCATGTTCATGCAGGCTCTAAAGAAAAAAAGATTGTTCATGTTGGATTATCACGATTTGCTTCTACCATATGTGAACAAAGTAAGAGAGTTGGATGATACAACTTTATACGCTTCGCGAACACTATTCTTCCTTAGTGATGATGGTACATTGAGGCCTGTTGCCATTGAGTTGACTCGTCCCCAAAATGTCAACAAGCCCCAATGGAAGAAGGTCTTCACACCAGGCTATGATGCTACTTCCTGCTGGCTATGGAATCTAGCTAAGGCACATGTCGTTTCTCATGACGCTGGTTATCACCAGCTTATTTCTCATTGGTATATATTAAAACACTCCTCACTACAAATTATAGCCTCTCAGATGGTTTCTTGTTTACAACAAAATTAGGTTAAACTTTTTTGCATAAGACGCGCATGTTGCATGACTAATTAGTAACGTGATGGAAAAATTAATAGGTTGAGGACTCACTGTTGTATGGAGCCATACATAATAGCGGCAAACAGACAACTTAGTGCCATGCATCCCATTTATAGGCTTTTGCATCCCCACTTCCGTTACACCATGGAGATCAACGCTCGTGCACGTCAAAGTCTCATCAACGCAGGTGGAATCATTGAGACTTGTTTTTGGCCCGGGAAGTATTCATTAGAGTTAAGTTCAGATGTCTATGATAAACTATGGAGATTCGACATGGAAGGCTTACCTGCTGACCTCATAAGAAGGTAAATTCTTGGTGTTTTATCCAATGTAGCCCCTTGGTTATGTTTTGTAAGATATTTTAGCTGAATGCACGTGAATTAATAAAAAATTATGAATAATTAGTTCTATAAAATGATTAGTTAAAAATTTAAGAGAAATATAATTCAATCATGTAAAAGACTACAAAATTGAAAAGGTCAAAAATATCAAATAACATCAAAAGATCTGTATAAACTAGTAAAAAATTTTATAAAATGAAACAAAAATCTCTTAAACATGTTGTTATATAATGGAAGAGAGGTTGTAATATTAATATAATCATTTTTTCAATGTTGAGAGACTCCCCTCTAATATCAAGCTAACCAAATATTTGTACATAAAATAAATTTGCGTGATTAGGGGATTAGCTGTGGAAGATGAGACCGCGGAATATGGAGGGGTACGACTGACAATACCAGACTATCCATTTGCGAATGACGGTCTAATGTTGTGGGATGCACTGAAGGAATGGGTAACAAACTATGTTAACCACTACTATCCAGATGCAAGACTAATCATCTTGGATAATGAACTCCAAGAATGGTGGAGTGAAGTCAGGAACATAGGACATGGAGACAAGAAGGACGAACCATGGTGGCCTGTCCTAAAAACACAAGATGACTTGATCGACGTGGTGACTACAATTGCATGGGTCGCTTCAGGTCACCATGCAGCTGTAAACTTTGGACAATACGGATATGGAGGATACTTTCCCAACCGACCAACCACCGCAAGAAGAAAAATGCCGGTCGAAGAACCAACACAGGAAGAGCTAAAAGAGTTTTATGAAGAGCCAGAAAAAGTGTTGCTTAAGACATTCCCTTCGCAGAAGCAAGCGACTCAAGTGATGGTTATTTTGGATCTTTTATCAACTCATTCACCTGATGAAGAGTACGTTGGAGAGAAACCAGAAGCATCATGGGTCAATGATCCTGTCGTTTATGCAGCATATGAACGATTTAAATACAGGATCCAATGTCTAGAAAGAGTGATAGATGAGAAAAATGTGAACGTTGATTTGAAGAATAGAGCAGGAGCTGGTGTAGTTAAGTATGAGCTTTTGAAGCCTATCTCTGAACCTGGTGTTACCGGAATGGGTGTTCCCTATAGTATTTCTATTTGATTGATGTATTTCTCTGAAATGGTGTATTCTTTTCTTCTTGGAAAATAAAAAATAAAGCCATGGATTTTACATAAATTTTAATCGCTAAAAAATACCACTAGATCAAAGAGACTTCTGTTACTAGGGTGATTGGTTAAGAAATATTTTTTTATTACAAATTATTGCTGTAAAATTATTTTTAAAATTTTGGTTGTAAGTTTTTTTCTGTAAATTAGAGCTATGATTTAAAAAAAAAAAATTAAAGCCATCTTGTTTGAGCTTTAGAGAGAATAAAACCGTAGAACAAAAAATAATGGATTGTGAGCTTTGATTTTTCGTTCCTTTACTTGTCCTCCATTAATTCACCTTCTCTGTACTGCAATCTCCCAAAATGAAAGGCTGGTCACACCTGGAACCATCTCCTCTCTTGCTCTCATAACCAGGCT